GGTAAGGAGTCGAACTGTCCCAAATTGGAACGCTGCCTGCAACAGCGCGCATGAAAGCACACACAAAACAGCATTGAATCTGTTCGATTTTAGGTCTGTTCGAATTTGAAAACGTTCGAATTCGTCGTACCCCCGGAGAGCGTGTTCGGCAATAAACGAGGCTCAAAAAAAATTTAAAGGCGCATGCAGTTGTTTATCCGAGTGCGTCTCGTAGCGGTATTGCGGCCTACCGTAGCCGCTGTTGAATTTTCCCTACCTTGTTTTTTTTTAAATTTTCCCACAGTTCTCCCAATTTTGAACGCTCTGAGGGCGCGTATGCAAAAATTTTTCAACGAATTTTTGTTTGAACATTCCTTAAGGAAATTTCTGATGGTCAGAAAATATTTGTGTGCTAAATAATTCTCATTTTTAGCCCAGCTATCACAAATACGCACTCAAAAATTTTAGGCTCATAAAACCATTTTCCAGACTCCGAAAAGTGGTTTTTTTCACTTTAGCATGCGGACTCAAATTTTTGTAGCGTAGCAATTACTTCTTTTTTCACCTTCGCTGCGTTTTTTCATGAGATACTTATTTAATTTTGTGCTTTGTTCACTTTTGTTGCACATCAGAAATATTACTTTCTTTCAATAGTTTCAGACACTCGACGTCGGAGATGCCCGCCACACCACTACCGCCGGCACCGATGCCTCCTGTAACAGCTCCACCCGGTCCCATGCCACCACCGCCACTTCCACCAGCCCCAGGTCCAGTTTTGCCCATCACATCGGCTCACAAGACAGCTAATGATGCATGCATCAAGAGATTGTCTCAAATCGGAGTAAGAATTTTGTGAGAAGACTAACATAATTGAAAAAAACATTCAGATAATGGAATCTCCAAGAATCTATCCTTCCAACCAGCCGCCTGGAACATACGGAAAAGAGATCTTGGTGCAATCGAACGTGTTTGGTATCGAAGTAGAGAACGAGATGGAACTTTTCCAATACAGCGTCTGCATTCGAGCTGATGTAGCTGTGAAAAAAGAAGTTGTTTTCACCAAGAAAGGAAAAGACGAGTGAGCTTTTTTGAAACTTTACATCTGTAAATATCTATTTTCAGTTTTGTCGTGCTTGACAGACATGAGAAGTGCTGCACAGTGCTTTACCATGCTTACGAAGCTCACGATGATTTTTTTCAATCCGCCAAGAATTGCCTGATCTACAATGGACAAAGCATGCTCTATTCTTCGATGGATCTATTCTCCAACCGATTGGATGCAGATATCAAGTCAAGAACCTTCCAAATAGACGGAGTTGAGATCGGTCACAAAGATCTTCTAAAATTGCCATGCATTAAATTGGAAATTAGTGCCACTAAAAACCCTGTCGTCAAGTTTAATCGGCAGGACGTCGGCAAAAGATCAGCTGATCAAAACATGCTGGCAGTCAACACCGCCTACCGCAATATCCTGGAGCTGGCGCTCAACCAATCATGCGTTCAAGACTATAACCGATGTGCCGTTTTCGAACACGGAAAGATTTTCTTCATCAGACCAACTGAGGAGGGATTTATTAGTCGTGATTGTGTTGATGTTGGTGATGGAAAGCGGATGATGCCGGGTATCAAAAAGACTGTTCAGTTTGTTGAAGGGCCGTTCGGACGTGAAGAATGCAATCCAGCAGTTGTCATCGATGGTTAGTTGTTGTTAAATAGAAAAAACGCGAACTCTTTTGTACAGGAATGAAAGTGGCTTTCCACAAAGAACAACCCATCATCGAGAAGCTTCAAGAAGTCGTCACCTCTGATTTCAGTAAAGGGCTAAAAGAGTTGGATAGAGAGCGATGTGCAGGTGTTATAAAGGGCCTCGATTGTTATTCCAACTATATGGGTCGTTTACGTCACCTCAAGATCGAAGGAATCCACCATGAAAGCGCTTCAAAGGCTCGCTTCCAAGTGAAAGACGGTAATTCTTCGACAGTTGCGGACTACTTCCAAAGCAGATGGAATATCACTCTCAAATATCCCGAAGTCAATCTCATTTGCTGCAAGGAGAAGGGAAATGTCAACTTCTACCCAATGGAGCTCATGTTCATCTCTCCAAATCAGCGTGTTAAAATATCGCAGCTGACCAGTGCACAAAGCCAACGAACCACGAAAGAAAGTGCTGTGCCGCCTGACGTTCGCCAACGGCTCATCATGACAGGAAAAACGGCTGCTAAGATTTCAGGAGATAGTGCGGTTCTAAACAAGTTGGGTGTCCAGATCTGCGAAGCTCCGCTACTCGTACGTGCTCGTCAGTTTCCACCGGTCAAAATCGCCCTGAACCCAACCAGCTCTGTAATTCCACAAAAAGAAGGTAAATGGCGAATCGGACAATACTCGAGACCAGCTGCTGCTCCAAAAGTCTGGGCAATGTACGCGGTCGGAACACCGTCTAGCCGATTCTCACAGTCTCAACTAACGTAAGAACTGCCAGTTTATTGTTAAATTAATACTTTTTGTTTTCAGGAAATTCGCCAGAGAATTTGTCACGGTAGCTCAACAGAAAGGCATTCAGCTGAATCCACCAAGTGATTCTCAGTGTGTGCTTGCAACAGATATTGAGTCGCAATTAGCTGCAGCACATAAAGCCAGCTGCGAATTCGTCTTTATAATCACTGATGACACAATCACTAATCTTCACCGTGAGTTAATCAATTAGCGTACTTTTTGACTCGTGTGTTTCAGAGAAATACAAGATGATTGAATCTTTGCAATCTATCGTGGTTCAAGACATGAAAATGTCGAAAGCATTGAGTGTGATTGACTCGGGAAAGAGGCTTACTCTGGAGAATGTGATCAACAAGACCAATGTGAAGCTTGGTGGAAGCAACTACATTTTCACGGATACCAAGAAGTATGAATTATTGTCTTTACTGTCTCTTTCATTATTATTATTATTACAGGTACCTTGACAGAGTTCTCGTCATCGGAATCGGCATATCTCAGCCACCACCTGGAACTAAATTCATTGTGGAAGGGAAAGGTTTCCTGAACCCGCAGATTATTGGTTTTGCGTATAATGGAAAACAGAAGCAAGAATTTGCTGGAGATTTCGTTCTATGCCCCGCTGGACAGGATGTGAGTGGTTTTTCCGCTTCAAAAATAGTTATTTCGTTTCAGACATTGTCTCCAATCGAAGACATCATGAAGGAATCCATCCTGGGATACAAGAAATGGCACGATGGCAACGATCCGGAAACCGTGGTTGTGTACCGAAGCGGAATTAGTGAGGGGAACCACGGCAATGTCCTCGCCTACGAAATTCCATTGGCTCGTGCTGGTATAAATGAAGTCTCCAAATCGGTTAAATTGGTGTACCTCGCTGTGTCGAAAGATCACACCTATCGTTTCTTCAGAAATAATTTGGTACGTTTATGCGGGTTTTTGTGTGTGATGAATATGGATTTTACAGGACGCTATTGGCAAATCTTCCTCCTCGGGAACACAAGTTTCTGCATCTGCGAGCAGAACATCGGTGGTGAGCTGAATCCGAGTTTAGTTAATTCCAAAAAAAAAATCGTTTCAGTCGTCGCAATCACAGCTGAAACCCTGCGACATCAACATTCCATCGGGGATTTCAATCGATCAAATGGTTACAAATCCAGCTATCAAGCAGTTTTTCCTGAACTCGCACACCACTCTGCAGGTGTGTTTTGACAGTCTAGGAAAATGACTTATCATTTTATTTCAGGGATCTGCAAAAACTCCCCTCTACTCGATCCTAGCAGACGATACGCGAGCCAGTTTGGAAAGTTTGGAGGAGCTGACGTACAACCTATGCCATCTCCATCAAATTGTCGGACTTCCCACTTCCATTCCAACGCCGCTATACGTAGCCGCCGAGTATGCCAAACGAGGAAGAAATTTGTGGAATGAAGCCAAGTGAGATTAGCTAATGCTTCGAGCCGAAATATAATTGAAATTCAGCCTGAAAAACCCACTCGTTCGTTCTGGTTCCGAGAGAGAGCAGCTTCGAGCGGCGACCCATTCCATCAACTACAAACATACAGGCGACTTCTCCGACCGTCGTGTGAACGCTTAATCATGTCTAATCTCATCTGTCCAATAGTAATCTCATTTAATGCCTCCTTTTTTTAATGGCTCCCATTTATCGTAGACTGTAACTTTAGTCACCCATAGTAATTGAACATTCATTTACCCTGTATAATTTGCAAACTTGTGACATTTTTACATTCACTATTGCTACCAGAACAATGCAAACTTGTTCAATCATCCACTCTTCATTTCCATCTGTCCTATTTTAGTTTGTGTTATTTTTTGTATCTTTGAGATGCTCAAAGCATTTGATGCTCCTAGAGAAAAGAAAGTTTAATAAAAGTTATTCTTTATAATTTTTTTGTTTGCAAAAAGCATATGCGACCCAAAATCGAATCACCGCTCCTCCCCAACGCTTCGGAAACCTAATAATCTCCTCCGCCGTTTTCTTCCAATCATAACCACTGACTAATCTATTGCTCACAGCTCATCAATGATAAAATTGGTTTGTCAATTTGTCAGGTGCCGCTTGGAAGATTTGTGGTTTTTTTTGTGATAAACGGAAGAAGAAAAAAGAAACAAAGATTTTGAGTGTCAAAAAAGAAACAATGAAGTGAGAGAAGGAGGAGTCAAAAAGACACAAGAAGTCACTTCTTATTCTTCTTTCTCTTTCTCTCCTGTCGAAAAATGAAAAGTGGGTCCTTCTTTTTCTCAAAGTCATTTTCAAAGAGGGAGAAGAAGAAGATAGAAGAGTCTCTTGTCTCTATCTCTCTCCATCTTCTTCTCTCTTCCTCCTGAGGGCTCTACTCTTCGCTTCAAAGAAAACTGGGGACCACAAGCCGGAGAGAGATAGAGAATGTATTCCTCGGAGTTTCGTGTCGACAATCGATACGAAGGACGAGAAAGAACGTAAAGAAGGGAACTCCATAGGCTTCTTCTTCTTCTTCTTCCTTCAAATAGCACCACCACTTCAATCTCTGGAAACCTCAACACAACGTTTTCTCACCTTTTGTTGGCCGCGTTTCTTTGTTTATCTCGAACACTCTTTTCCGCTCATTAATTAAGTTTTTTTTTGGTTTTTTTGTGTTCCTTTTTTGATTGGAGAAATTTTTTGAAAATCCCATTTTCAAGAAGAATTCGGAACAGATATAAATTATCAACCATTCGTCTTTGACTTAAATGAAAGAATTATAGTTTGAACAATCTCATATTGCTTCAAAATAAGAAAATTCAGAGAATCTCGTTCTAAACTGTTCTTTTAACCAAATGATTCGGTATTTTCTTCTCGATTACCATTGCTTTTAGACAGTTATTGTGTTGAAAAACACCAAAAAGATGGAATTTTTTCTCTAATTACGGTAGTTCAGCATGACCGCAGCCACCGGATTCTTTCTTCCACAGCTATTATCATATCCAGAATAAGTAAAACAGATTCCTTGAAAACTATAGGAAAAATAGAAGATTCTAAACTTTTCAGACAATATCATATTTGCAAAAAAATTGGCAAAAAATTAAAACTATTAATCATCAACATTGAAATTCGTTTTTCGTAAGATTCTGGAAAAAGAAAACAGATATCATTATTTTTGATCAACGCTCTGAAAGTTTTCCAAATTACCAAATTGAAATTTTACCCTTTTTCTTCTGATCGGCTTTTTGTTTAACTACCGTGAACACTATAATAGAACGACATCCTTAACTCTCAACTTTGAGCCCAATTATCTTGGTTCCTTCAAAAGATATCAAAAATGTGTCAACTGATAAGTTATTTATTGTAATATCATCGATATTTTATCAGTTGACAAATTTTTGATATCTTTCATGCTAATCGAGATAAATTGCGTTAAAGTTGACGGTTTGGGTGGGCTTCCATTACAGGAAATGCGGTAACCTGCATTTTCAGATAACCTGGTTTTTCCCCTTTTTACCTCCCTGATATCTCTATGTATCTCCTTCTCCCATCAATCCAAAAAAATATTTTTGCAGGTTAATGGGACCAAATGAGCACGGCTTTGCGTATATCCTCATATTTCTGCTGCTCTCTCCATCAACACAAACAAACAGAGATGCGAATCGGTTATTTGAGGATCTTATCGCAGGTTTATTTTCAAATTATATTTCAATTATGAATAGAGCGCACTTGCTGATGAACTAAATTTGAAATCGATTGCAGACTACAATAAATTGGTGCGACCAGTCAGTGAGAACGGAGAGACATTGGTGGTGACGTTCAAGCTGAAACTCAGTCAACTTTTAGATGTTCATGAGAAGAATCAGATTATGACAACAAATGTTTGGTTACAACATGTGAGTATTTTTTGATTTAAAAATTTGAGCAAAAAATATCTGGAAAATGAAAAAAAAAACCAAAATTTCTTAAAATCGGAGATCAAAACTTTAGAAAAAAACAGATTTACCAAAAACGTACCCTATTTCCTCTAATAGAAGCCCACCGCAACCGTAAACTTTGAGCTCATATATTTAGATTTCTGGGAAAGATATAAAAAAAAAGTTGTCAGCTGATAAGTTGTTTATCATAATATCACAAACGTTTTATCTGTTGACACATGTTTTACATCTTTAACAGGAATCGAGATAAATGAGCTCAAACTAGACAGTGTGAGGGGTCCTTTTATTACAGGTTTTACGGTATTCGGGAACTTAAAAAAACAACTTTTGAAATTTAAACAAAGCGAGAAGTTCGATAAATTGAAATTTTAAAAAATTCCAGTTGTTTAAAAAAATAGGATAAATTTTTATCCGGTTTTCGAACATCAAGTGTTAAAAATCGAAAATTTGAATTTTCGAAAAAAAAAGGATTGAAACGGCTAACAATAAAAGAGAAATAATTCAATATGAAAAATCATCCTATTTGAAGAGCTGGATGGATTACAAACTACGATGGGATCCGGCAGAATACGGTGGTGTTGAAGTACTGTATGTCCCATCGGACACCATTTGGCTGCCTGATGTTGTTTTGTATAATAAGTGAGGATTCTTTTTTTATGGGGTTATTCATGTAGCGAAAATATGTATTGAAATGCATTTCCGCGGCCTCGAAACTCAATGCATGAGCGTCGCGAAATGTATTTCAAAGCATAACTGTAAATTCATTGAAATACATCGCGTGGCGGGATATTTTTTCTGAAAAAGG